AAGTTAAGTATCAACCGATACTTAAAACAAAACATAAAACAAGTTAAGTATCAACCGATACTTAAAACAAAACATAAAACATAAAACAAACTAAGTATCAACCGATACTTAAAACAAAACATAAAACAAGTTAAGTATCAACCGATACTTAAAACAAAACATAAAACATAAAACAAACTAAGTATCAACCGATACTTAAAACAAAACATAAAACATACTAACCGAGTACCAGCTCCGGTTACAGCTTGCTCGTGAAGGGTTTTAAGCAGTGTCTCTGTTGTTGATTCTGACCACTTCAACTTTCCCATCACCAGTTGACTTGATCGCATTGATTTAAATAAAAATAAAAATAAAAAAGATGAGTTTTAGGTATTAATATAGAATACGATATCCTTGAACCATATAGTTATATTATATACTATGGTGTCGGAACTACATTCCTTGGTATGGCTGGGTATTTTCATGTGGGTGGTCAGACACGCCACAGTGACGTTACATGGTTCAGGTTGTCAACTTGTCATTATTGCACTTTCTTGTTACAACTCGCATTTTGCCATTATCAAGGTTTGAAAAACTGATGGCAACCAGACGAACCCTAAGACGGGATGGGATACGAGTGCCCCGCGCCAAGTGTGTCTACCTAGCACCCATCTCCGATTGACCCCTCATCTATACCTGGGCTACCGCAAAGTAGGATATTAGGGATTTTGCGAAGAGACTCTGGATGTAGGTCAAACAGGGTTCTGGGCCAATGAGATCGCTAGAATTTGACCCTGGATGCGAAATCGCAAAGTCTCTATTCTAATAATACTGCACAGAAATTATAACTTGGGCTTGAACGTTGATTACCTGTACTGGTACTTCGCAGCCCATAATGAGGTTTTCCTTGGACAGCCTTTTCACAACTCGAACAACCAGTGCCTCAGACTGCTCCCACAACTAAAGCAACGACTCCGATCTCTTTCATACAAGTACAAGCATTTCTACTTACCCGCCATCTACCACGCGGTACGGGATTTCAGCCCATGGTTGCACTGGCGTAGAAAATAACGAAGGCCACTACTGCGCCTACGTCGCTACACGAATTATGCTCAACCCGGTAACGCTATGATGTACAAGTACCGCTCTGATCTTACTACAGTGCAAGGGTTAGCCACAAAATTGAGCACTGTTCAGGTTAGCAATCCCCTTAAACTGACGGTTCCTTATATGATATCTGTGCACCACTCTGAGCGCACTACCGGTACCGGTACAATGTGATCACGTGAGCTGTGTAGAGTGAGGGCTATTGGAAGCGAGATTTAAAAACCTTCCGCTGAGTTGCCATGGACCTGTAGGTGTGTAGACTATCTTTGTTGTTGTCTTTCGCTCAATTCGTCCCTTACGTGTATGGATGCCAGAAACATGCTATCAACGGAAATATAGACATGCAGGAAGCTCTATTTTATGTCTTGCTTAGGGTGTGAGTGTGTATCCCTTTAACCTCCAATCAACTTGAAGGTTCTATCTATAAGCTGAGAGCAGCGAAGCTCCATACTTATTCTAGTATGATACATACAGCGCTATATTCATCCAGGCTCTCTTCCATTTCAGAGACAAATCGAGCAGGGCTCATGCACTTGTAGCCAACTTGCAGGTGACTTGGACTACATGGTCCGATGCTCAGTCCAAGCAGGAGCACGGTACTCGTACAGTGTCATTCCCGTTCCATGTTGTAACCGCAAATGAAATGACAACATACGGGTAGGACACTGCATACAGGATTCACCGGAATCGTTCAAAGTTAGTCGAGTACCGTAATTGAACCCTTTCCAACGCCCTTTCCCCATCAGTTACGCTCTCCCCACAGCCTGCTCACCGCCAGCTAACCCTTGCTCGCGGATGCCCCCCCGGAGTTGCGAGATAAAGCTTACAAATTCGCCATCCGATTACTTACTCTTGATGCTTGATAAGCTATGATATCATACCCGCCCCGTTTAAATGCCCTGCATTCCCATCTGAGCTCTGGAGTTCCCCCTCACAAACGCACCTTTCTCAACAGCCTTTCGCACCCCAATCGCCGAAATGTCTTCACTTCCGAAAACCCAACGATCTGTTCGGATTAATGCTTATGGAGGAGTCGATGTGATCAAGGTTGTCACGGATGCACTCGTGCCGAGCCCTGCGGATAATGAAGTTTTGGTTAAGAATACGTATGCTGGGTTGAATTTTATCGACACTGTTTGTCCCTCTCTCCTCCCTGCCTTTGCTTTACGGGATGGCGCCATAAACTGATTAACGGGACAGTACTCCCGCACGGGTCTCTACCCTGCGCCTTCGTTCCCGCACACCCTCGGACGTGAAGCGGAGGGCACGATTGCTGCAGTTGGAAAGTCCGTCCAGAACTTCAAGGTTGGCGACAGGGTAGCATATTTGGGAATCGGTGCCCAGCAAGAATATACCGCTCTTGACCCGTTCTATGTTGCGCATGTTCCCCCTGCTATTCCGGAAGGTGTTGCGGCGGCTGGTATTCTTCAAGGCCTTACGGCTCTGGCGTTCGCCCGTGAGAGCTACGAAATTAAGAATGGTGACTATATCCTCATTCACGCTGCGGCTGGCGGCATCGGCTTGTGGCTTGTTCAAATTGCAAAAAGCTATTGGCGCGCATGTTATCGCGACTGCTTCCAACGACCAAAAGCTTGCAATAGCTCAAGAACATGGAGCGGAGTTTTTGATCAACTACTCAACTCAGGATTGGGTTGCCGAGGTCAAGAAGATCACAAAGGACGCCGGCGGTGGGGTTGCTGCTGTGTTTGATGGGGTTGGGAAGGATACTTTTGATGGTGACTTGGAAGTTGTGAGGAGAAAGGGGACAGTAGTTTCTCTGGGTAATGCCAGTGGGGCTGTCCCGCCATTCGCAATTGCAAGGCTATCGCCCAAGAATCTTAAGCTTCTGAGGCCACAATTGTTTGCCTATATCGGTTAGTAGCCACTCTAAAGCAGTTTAGGGTATAATTGTTAATAGTGTATAGCCGAGAGGAGGGAATTCGAAGCTTATACCCGGGAGATTTTCGATTGGATCATTGAAGGTAGAGTTAAGGTCAATATCCACAAGGCCTACCCGCTCGAAGAGGTAGCACAGGCGCAAACGGTAACTGCACATCCGCCTCACGGTGGAGCTTGGCTAACACATGGCGCCACTACCTTAGGATCTTGAGTCCCGCACCACTACCGGGAAATTGATTCTGAAAATTTGAGATGGAAATTCCATCCCGGCGCTGTAAATGAATACGGATATCAGATATTCAGGGTCGAGTGATGGATAGCGTAACTAGTTATATCCTATCCCGGATATAGTAAATAGCTTCGCCAACACAAGAGCAGAAAATAAGGCAAATGAGGTCAGGCGGCGTAGAGTTTTGCGAATTATAGGAACCAACTCCTTGATAACGCTCGCTTCAGTTCTTAGAGCGAAGTGGAGAGGAGTGCGGGGGCGATCACATGGGCTACCCCGACGCCCTTTTCAGACCACAGTCAGGGGGGGGCATCGAAAAGGCTCAAGCAAACATGGGATCACAACCCGAGCCATCAAACAGTAAATTCATCTTAAGCCAGCGAGCACTAGCACGGCCCGGTGATCATTGAACCAACTCCGCAAGTAATCTCTCAGCACTCCTTACCCCTTGCAGAGCATTCTCGTCGGGCCCCTTGCCCGGGGCCCAATTGGCATGAGCAAAGTCGATCAACTTGAGCTCCTCAACCTTCTTGACCTTCTCATCTTCTTCACTCTCGTCATCCTCACCCTTCGGTGGCTTCTTAGCATTCTCCTCCTCCTCCCCCAATGCGGTCTCAAGAACCTTTCCATCACCCTCATACACGAAGAGCAAAGAAGCAGAATACATCCTACTCTCCTGCGCCTCAAGCACCTCGCGGATTTCTGCAACCTTCTTCAAGAACCTCTCGGCAATCAACTTCTTCTGCTCCTCGTTGATATCCGCAGCAAAGTACTCCTTGACAGCTTCCAGGCAATTGTCCGCGGTGAACGTGCGCCCGTAGTGCTTGTCGAAGACTTTATACCCGCCGCTAGCCTCGCCCTTCCACACCTTCATCCCGGCAATGCGCATACCAAGCGGGCGGGATGTGGTGGCGTCTGAAACGGCGTCCAGGCGATCGCGCTTTGCCTGCGGTGCCTCATCGTCCCAGAGCTGGGCTCCCAGCTTGATATCCAAGACGCAAGCTTTGCCGAAACCGTAGGCGAGGTTTTGCAAAACGATGGAGGCAGTACGATCGTGCGTGACGGGCTCCCCAGTCGTCTCCTGGCCGGAGAGCTCGAGAGTTCCGAAGAAGGTTGGCATCCATTTTTGGAACTTGGGGTGTTCGGCGGCAGATGTGTAGAAGGCTACTTCGCGGGCCGTGCAGGGTTTTATGACTAGTGCCCCGGATTCATCTGAGAGGACGCCATCGCTAGCCATTGTTAGCCCGACAGACCTAAGCTTGTATTTTGCTTGGACGGGAAGTCGGTGGGAGGAGGAGGTTAAAGGAGAGAGAAATAAGGCTAACGAAGGGTAGCTAGATCAAACATACTGCCCAGCAGCCGCAAGGTCGAAGGCACGGAGGTCTGAGGCCTTGAGTCCGGATGCTGCCATCTCGCAATTTTTCAGTTTTCGAGGCGTATTGCGTGGGTTTTTTTTCTAGTATCAAGGCCTGAGGACGGAAGGATAGGGGGGGTGGAAATGGTTTTATATTCGCGTTTACCTTGAGGGAGGGGGTCACTGCTCTACCCAGCGAGGCTGCGGGGTTCACAGAGACCCACAGTCACGGGGTACCGGGGGAGGGTTTGGGGCCGAACCGCCGAGTTTCGAGCCGATCCGCTACCGTATCTGTACGATAGGAAGAAAGGCGTTACACACACCAAAGTCCCTGAACTGGAAAAACCTGCATAACTTAGCAGTAAATGTTTTTCCGCCTCCGGGCCGAATGCCTCTAATTGTACCGCAGGGATATTGAATGGCCCACCCCTGGCACCCTGAATCGTATCCCGTCCTATGCCTCACAAGAAGGCATAGAAATAGGAGGGCTTACCATAATATTACGGTGAGTCCATTTAGATCTAGGATGTCAGCGGCTCTGGTCATTATCTGATCTTGAGATCCCTGATTAGGAAGTTCCTGTGTTTGACATCATTCACCCGGGAGAGACAGTCGCCCTCCTAGAGGGGGGGCTCCGGTCATGAGCAGGGCGATATTTAACATGAGGTGCTTTGGGTTCACGGAAGGTAATCGAAAGCAGTGAGATCCAGTGCAGTAGAGAACAGGTACAAGTACAGCGCTGTACTGTACAATACAGTTCGGTGGGTGATACCGGCAGTATATATTATCAGACGTGATAGAACTCGGAGCAGATGATCAAGTTCAATTCGTCGTGATTCATGCCCCCATGTGTCGTGGGTCTGCTACAATTTATCAACGATAAGCAGTCCACGATGATAATCCTGCCCGGTTATCTGCGAGATATGATGCGGTGGGTTGAGGGAAAATGCACAATTAAGGTGCTGCGCGAGATTAAAGGAACTCACGATCCAGCCAACAGACAGCCAGCCATTCCGGAGCCGCATGGAAGAGTGTGCGGGCATGCTATCACAGCAGAAGGTTAGGCCACCCGTCACCACAACCACCTCCCCGCCCGCTCGACAACGGTTCAGGAGGGCGCGTGTGTGACGAATTTCCGACCTTCGTTTCCCCCAATTTTTCACTTCCCCCACCAAACATCAAACTTTGGGGAAAAGCCTCAGTGGGGTCGTCAACACCGGGCGGCAAACAAACCACCCCATCCAACTGAACACAACCCGGAGCCACACGACACCAACGACAAGACGCAGTGAGACACGGAAAAAACAAAAAACAAAGAACAAAATAGAGAAAAATGTCTGAACCCGCTGAAGCTTCTCTTTCTGAAGCTGTTGAGAAACTCGAGATCAGTAGTGCCGGCGATGAACATGAAGGCAATGATATGGCTAGGATTGGAGATGTGAAGATAACCGAACTTGAGGAGAAGCAAGCGCCCAAGAAGAAAAAGAAGAAAAAGAAGAATAAGCCGAAGAATGTATGATTTCCCACCTAATTTTCTCTTTTTTTACCTCCTAGCGAATTCTGACTGACAAAAACATCGGATCAAACAGCCTAGACCTTCAGGATTTGAAGGTAAGATATGGTAATCATATCCGGCGCTGGAACTTTAACTAATCGGCGGTGTAGAGCACCATGTCGAAGGCCCATTGACCCTTGAAATGGCCCAGGAAGAGCAGTCGCTTTATCACCCGTGATTTACCTCCATGGACCTCGTCTCACAAACACTTGCTAACATTTCCCAGGAGCAAGCCGTTTTCTGAGTATATACACACTTCCTATGATCCGCCCCAGCAGGTGAATCATCACTAACCTCCCCCTCCAGGCGCATCGAGATATGCATCCAACGCTACAAGTCCAAGCGTAAATTCGATGCTCTTCGTTCCCAGATATTCACCACCTACTTGACTCTCGGTGGTATCTCTACAGGTCCCAAGCAATTCTCCGGAGGTCTAGACTACAGGCAGAATGACCACTTGGACAAAGAGCAGCTGGAGACCATGGCAGCCACAGACTTTGTCTCGACCAACCTGGATGAAGACGACGAGTGGGAAGTCGACTTTCCATTTGTTGTCCGTGGGTTCTTGTCCCACAGGGTCCCCTACGTTCTTGGCTATATCGAGGTCGCACACCTGGAACTTGCTGCGCAGGTCGTTCGTAATTTCCTCAACTATGTGAGTTCGGCTCTCCCCTCTCCCTCTCCCTACTTCACCTGCCAGAATTCTGACCATTGATAGATCCTGTATCACAATGTGGCGCCCGAGCATGTGGACGGTGTCCACGAGGCTATCAGGATCTGCGACCTTGCTGAGAAGGAGCTGGCTCTTTGCCGTCATACTTCCCATCGTCTCCCAGGAAATTTCAACATGGCTTGCTCAACTCTTTTCGGTGGTCACTACGCTGGCATGAAAGGGGAGAACCAGACTTGGGACACTCTCACCCCCCCTGTTGGCTTGACTATTCAGGAAGCCACTGGTATCTTCAATGCATGTGTCCAAACCCGTGGAACCCCCGAGCAGAAGGAGATGGGTCTCAACGTGGGGATTACCAAAGCCGAGTTTATGGGTATGGAAGTCACCGGTATCATCTTCCCGAACCTTGAGAGGAAGAGGGGCAAAGATGAGACGAGAGTGGAGGGGTCAGGAGGAGCCAAACCCGATACCGACGAGAATACTAATCCTGCCGCGAAGCCGTACGAGGCAACCGGTCTCAAGGCTCTTGGTAGACTCCTCCTCAAACCGTGGGCTCCAGATGACGAATTGCCACCCGAGACCGACCTCGCTGAGTTTGACATTTGGCTTGAGTTGGAGGTGCTCCAGTTCTGCTTCACCGGAATGCACCTCGAAGCCAAGGTTCATAGACTCAGCTCTGGCATTTTCTGGATTGACAGTGTCACTGTATGTTACCCTCTCACTTTTTTATCTCATTTTACATTGACTAAATGGTTCAACAGGCTGTTCAATGCTCATTCTACCTCCAACTTGATCCGCCCGACAAAGCCGGTGACAACGCCAGCGATGATGAGTTTGACTAGTTTGATTGCTACCAGATGTTGCTGGGGTCCTGATGGTTCTTACGCTTCTTCTTTTTCCTCTTTTCTCAACGATATCTCAATGCTTGTAATACACTCAATGTAGTTTCTTTGAGAACAAATCCAAATCCAAATCCAAGTAAAAAGCACCCCACTTGAGAATGGGTGTGAAGCGGTATCAAAAAGCGGTGAATCTGATCTTGAAGCAGAGAAACGTAATGCTCCACGGGATCTTGCAGTCCCCAGCGATCAATGCCTTTGACTTTTTCCCTTTACTTACAAAAGTGCCTGAAATTATCTCACCCAAAATAACCACTAAGCATGATTTCGTGGAAGATTGTTAAAAACACCGAGGGGGTTAGTTTGCGCTCCCGATTACATTTTCCCAATCCCGTATCACCCTCCGCCCATAGCCACACTACCATACAAAACGTCTTGACTTCACGGCACCATTATTTCCCTACCGTCACCCCCCCTTGGGGTGAGGGGCAGCAGATATCCAACCCGTTAGCCACCATCAAGAATACAAAGAGGGCACATAACTAAGGGGAATTGTATTATAACATCACACTTGTGATCAATAAAAGAGAAGAAAGAAAAAAGAGAAAAGAAAGAAAAACTTCCAATAAAAGTGTAGCATGGAGACCTAGTCCCCAAAGCACAATTTTCCCCCTACATGGTGAGCATCCAGCATATGAAGAACTCACCACTCGTTGGCTCGCCCTTACCGGAGTGTGTGGTACCAAACAGCATCACAGTCCAGAGGACTTTGCAAGGCAGCGCTCCTCGTGCCGGGTGCTCACCATGTAACGAACGAAATACCGTATCACAACATTATGATACCCAGTTCATCCCCATCACTCATGATTGTTCCAGCTGCATGATAAAATATCATACCAGCACACGTCGATTTAGGGGTTGGGGTGGATAACCACCAGAGCTACGATATCAAAACCTCTACGGTAGCATTTCACAGTCCCCCTCCCTTACAGCCCTTCTTTCACAACAGAAAAAAAGCAACACGTTTAACTCCCATACATACTCAAATGACACCAAATGCCCAATCAGAAATCTACGAACCAAAAGTTCTCGAGATACTATTACTATATTATACTATATGGTGCTGGTATGTCACTGAGTCCCCCCCCCGTAGATGGTAGTTGTACACTTTTTATTTTTATTTTTTTTTCTTTACAGAACTCTCAAGAATCAGGAACTTTTGGGAATAAACTTGTGACTTACGTGATGTATGATATTATTATATCATGTTATGTTATGTGACTGTTATAGTACAAGCAGTTTGGGGAAATATATATAATAAACCCAACCCCCAACCCCCCCCGGCACCAGCCGTTTCTATTAAGTTACAACAAACCGGGCCATCCCCGCCGGTACGGTTGAGTAAACAAGATCTTGAAACCGTCCCAGAACTGTGCTGTATTGCACCGTACTATACCGCCAGTATGATACTGTATCATTCTCTATTATGTACTGTACACTTATCTCAAAAGTGGATCTGATCATCTGATAACCCATCTAATCTGATCTCAAAATATGAATGTCAGGTAGCCCCCTTCCAAGTTGCTGT